ACCGGAATCCTGCAGAATGTCTAACAGATATTTTCGTTGACTGAGAACCATCCCTTCCGGCGAGCGCGCCACTTCAAGACCAAGAAAGTAGCGCAGGGGCCCAAGGTCCTTGATGCTGAACCGTGAATGAAGAAAACCTTTAACCTGAGAGATAAAATCTAGGCAGTTGCCGGCAAGTACCACATCATCCACATAAATGAGAGCTACCACATGGATGCTCCCCCGGCGAAAGATAAATAAGGAGTGGTCAGCAGGCGATGGCGTAAAACCCAACTCACAGAGGGCAGTGGTGAACTTCTGGTACCACTGTCGCGAAGCCTGACGAAGACCATACAAAGACTTGTGAAGCTTACAGACACGGGTATCCCCAGGGGCAGCAAAACCTTGGGGAATGCGCATATAGACCTCCTCTTCCAGATCACCGTGGAGGAAGGCATTGTTGACATCCAACTGATGGATATGCCAACCTTTGCTGACAGCGACCGCAAGTAGGCAGCGAACAGTGACAAGCTTAGCCACCGGGGCAAAGGTATCATGAAAATCTACACCTTCAATTTGCGTGTAGCCCTTGGCCACAAGTCGTGCTTTAAATCTCTCGATAGTACCATCAGGAAGAAATTTGATTTTGTAGACCCATTTCGACCCGATAACACGTTTCCCAGGGGGCAAAACCACAAGACTCCATGTGCCATTTGCTTCAAGAGCATGTACTTCAGCAATCATGGCCTTGCGCCACCGTTCATCCTTGATGGCCTCATGAAAGTTGCGAGGTTCCGGATTATGGGCTACAGCTGCAAGGAAAGCACAATAATTAGCAGAGAATTTATCATAGCTCAAGTGATTTGACAAAGGGTACTGAGCATGAGTGGAAGCATTTCCTGTGTAATAAATGTCCAGCTTTTTCGGGGGAATGCGTGGCCGATCACTACGTCGCAGCGGAGGGGGATCCGCAGCGACCGGGGAAGGCTGGTGGCCAGCCGACAAAGAGCCAGAAGGGGTTGGGGCAGCCGGGCTGGAGGTTGCTGGGCTGGAGGGAGACGGATGGGCCGAGGAAGGCGTTGGGGCAGCTGGGCTCGAGGGTGCTGGCCCATCTTCAGAAACAGGAGCGACTGGGCTAGGGGAGAGAGCTGGCCCATCTGTGAAAACCGGAGTGGACCGAGGCTGTGGTGTACCTGTAGCAGGGGACGGGCTGTGGGCCGAGGACGCTGGCCCAGGATGACAGGCGGCAGGTGCAGGCGGCCCAGGCGGGTGTGCTGGGGCAGACGAGATGGATCCATCACCCAAGTCCTCCACATCACGGTGAAAGACGTCCCTAGGAACCCAATGCATCTGCTGCGAGGTGCCTGACTGAAAGGGAAACACATTTTCATGAAAAATAACATCACGACTAGTGATGATCCGCCGTGCAGCCATATCATAGGCACGGTACCCTTTTTGACTGGCCGCGTAACCAAGGAAGACACAGGCGCGGCCTCGTTCATCAAACTTACCCAAGTGCCCACGTGTATCTTTGCAGTAAACCAAACAACCAAAAACGCGCAGATGTGTATAACTAGCCGGCTTGCCAAACAGAACCTCATAAGGTGTCCGGCCGGTGGCGGTAGTGGGGAGTCGATTGATCAAGTAAGCAGCAGTGAGAACACACTCACCCCAGAATCGAATGGGCAACGAGGCCTGAAAACGAAGTGCACGTGCCGTCTCAAGAAGATGACGGTGTTTCCTCTCCACTACCCCATTCTGCTGCGGTGTATCGGTGCAGGATGTCTGAAGAAGAATCCCAGCCTGTTCATAAAACTCACGGAGTGATGCAGTGTTAAACTCCGGACCATTATCCGCCTGAATTCGTCGTACCTGTTTACCAAACTGAGTACTAACCAGATTACAGAACATACGTAGATATCGACCAACTTCGGATTTAAATCGAATGAGGTAAACCCAGACGCCACGACTAAAATCGTCAACAATGGTCAAGAAGTAATGTGCACCACTAAGTGAAGGTGTGCTATAACCACCCCAAATATCCAAATGTAACATTTCAAAACAAGAGGAAGTATGAATTCCACTAACAGGAAACGATGTCCGAACTTGCTTAGCCCGAGAGCAAGAATGACAAAGATCAGTATTCAATGTCTGAAAACCAGGAATAACAGGCTGAAGTTTAACCATAACAGAAGATGAGGGATGCCCCAAACGAGCATGCCAAGGAACTCGAGGCAAGTGTGCTTCCTTAGTGACTGCGTGGGCTTTAACCTGTTGACATCCAAATAAGCGTAGGAAGTAGAGTCCATCACGAATCTCCCCCTTCCCAATCACGTTCCTGGATTGTAAGTCCTGTATGATGCAAAAATCACCAAGAAATATTAAAGCAACCCGATGTTCCTGACATAACCTGCTTACGGACAATAGATTGCAGCGAAACTCGGGAACACACAAGACCCGATTAAGAACCATCCCATCATCCAGCCGAACAGATCCCACACGTCGAACCGGAATACTGGCCCCGTTTGGTATACGCACGGGTTGACTAGGAACACTCGGTTCATGAGAAAACAAGAGAGATTCATCCATGGTTATATGCTCGTTACAACCAGAATCTATTAACCATTCAGTACGGTTAAGAAAATTGTACGTACCCGCCATGTGGCTGGAGGGATCAGTACTCTGAAAAGATTGCCCACCAAAGTATTGCTTCAAAAGTTCCAGCTGCTGCACCGAGAAGCCGGGAACGGGACTCGCCTCTGCTTCCGCCAGGGATGCGCGCGGATCGCGACTCCGAGAGCGCCCAGCAGCACCGTCGCGTCCCGCGTCCTTGTTGCGCCGCCGATCGGAGCGGTCCGACTGCTTGTCACGATCCCGCGGCGGCCATCCAATTAGTTCATAGCAAGATTCTTTTAGATGGCCGACTTTGAGACAATGCGTACACTGAGGCTTCTCTCGTGTAGTTGAGCCACGATCACGATCACCAGCCCCGCGATCACGAGAGTTGCGGCCGCCTTGGGAGAGCTTGTCCGCCTCTCCACGAGTAGCAAAAGCTGCGGCCTCAGGCACAGGTTTGCGGCTTTGCGTCAACGTCCGTTGCTGTTCATCATTGTAGACGATTCGAAAGGCCTCAGGAAGCGTTGGAGGGCTGGCCATGGCGAGGATTTGACTTCGAACGGTCGCAAAAGAGTCGTCAAGACCCAGAAGAAAGTCGAGCAGCCTCAAGCTTTCGTTCTGGTCGCGACAGCGACGACCACAAACGCAGATCGGCGGCGGTAAGATTGACTGAGTTTCTTCCCATATCTTCCTCAGATTTGTGTAGAATCCAGAAACAGATTGTTTCTCTTGTTGAAGCAAGCTGACATGCCGACGAAGTTCGTATGCTCTCGTCAGATTGCCTTTGCTGAAGCGGTCGCGGAGGTCCTGCCATATTTCTTCCGCCGATTTTGCGTGCATGACACTGCTGCGAAGCTCCGGATCCATGGCTGTCCGCAACCATCCCTTAACTAGGGCATCGCAGCGAGCCCAGGCGCGGGACAAGGGAGTGTTGCCTTGAGGACAAGGCAGCGTACCATCCACAAATCCCAGCTTATTCTTGGTAACCAATGCGTCTTGCATCTCAAGGATCCATTCACTGTAATTGGATGGAGTCAACAGGCTGCTCACATGAAGATGGCCTGTGCTATCAGATTGATGAATGAAATACGGGCTGTGCAGATCGACTTCGTTGGCTGCCGAGCCAGAACCAGGCGTCGTTGACATGGGCGACGTCTCTATGCTGGAGTCTTCGCCCGACATTGAACTGCTATGATCCGGATCACGATCACAGCTCTGATACCATGAGAAATATGATAAAACGATAATACGACACAGTGATTTACGTGGTATCCCCGATTGACGGGACTAGTCCACGGGAGAGCTCTTGCTCTCCAGGCTGAATTCTTATTATTGATTATGTGTTTATGGCCGGCGGCCGTACATCGTACTTATACCCTGTTCTACACGTATCTAGGGTAATTGTACATGGACAAGTAATTAAACAACATGAATGGGCCGCAGCCGCTCCAAGCTTGCTGGGCAAGTTTTCACTTGGTTTGGGTCGAGGGTGCTGGCCCATGTCCATTACATGGCGACTGACATAGATACGACCAGTTAAACGGTCAAGACAGCGATAACCTTTATGGAGATGGCTATAACCCAAGAAAACACAGGGAGTAGAACGAGGTTGAAGTTTATTAGAAGTGAGAGGACGCAGCCAAGGATAACACAAACAACCAAAGACACGAAGATTGAGAAAAAGAATCAGAACAGCAGAGCACTCGTTGGAGTCTACTGAGGCTCTGATACCATGAAATTGTCTCTGGAAATCTGAGTTTTACATTACTGAATATTGGTTTTTATACAAGTACAGCAGCAACAGAAAATGCAAATCCTACGTAGAGGTTGCTATAAACAAGGAACCACTCAAACGGTAACATAGTGGAGGATCTATTCTGTTCCACTTAATACTCTCTCTTATCAGAGTCTAGTTTTTTCTTTCTTTTTTTATAGGCTATTGGAATCTAGTTTGATATCAAATCATAGGTAATGTAACACTTTAGGTGAATCCCACATCAACAAAGCAAGAGAGAGATTCATGGTTCATAAGTAGGAAACCACCTTAACTGAAAAAAGACGTGTTTTGGGTGAAATGGAGGAGTTCTTACTTATGAGAACTCTGAAGTTAAACGTGCTCAGTGTGTTGTACAACAAGGATGGACGATCTTATAGGAAATTATCTTCAACTACACCCCAAGTCAAAAACCGTGAGGTTTGCGAGTTGCGACCCTAAACGAACAATATCTGTGTCGGGAAAATGTCTGAAATGTTACAAGTAGCAAATCTTGGAAACAAAAATAGGTTTTTTTTGGTTACACATAACGGGTCTCTCATTGACTCAATAATATGGCTTTTGATAAAAACCTTCATGCAACTATAAGTCTATAATGAGTCTACGGATTTATGGAGCAGACAGCCATTGGCAAGCTTTCATGCAACTATAAGGGGTCGTTTGGAGGTTGAGATTTGAAGTGAGGTATTTAGCAAATACATGTAATGATAAGATTAAGTCGTTTTTTTGGTTCACTTTGAGCTAGAATGCATGCATTACCTTTTTGTTGGGCCCACCTACAATCACTCAAAATGAATGATTATAAATCTCTACTAAAAGGTGAGATTGTTAATGAGGGATTGTCTACCCTACTTTTTGTTTCATCATTGCCCTTCCAAACAAAGTATTTTCCTAATACATGTATTGAATCAATACATCAAATGATAATACACTAATTGGCCTAATACATCAATTTGAAGAATCACAACTTCCAAACGACCCCTAAGTACCCCTTCTTCAACATGTTCAGACCGAAGCGCAAGCAGTCCAAGAGAGTCCATGTCCAAGCCCATGTTCGTCGATCCAGGAACCGCGACGGCGATCAAGAAATCAGCCGTTAAAGCCTCCTGCATTCTGCTGGTCCGGAGCCTCAGCTGCGGCGGCGGCGGTGGCAAGAAGAAGCGCAGCCGTCGCCACGACTTGACGCAGCAATATGTAAGATGCATACAAGAAAAGAAACCATATATAGTCATTGTAAGAAAGAAAGAAACAAATATTGTTCATTTGCTTTGCTTGTGAGTTGTGATATCGATTTTGGGCTTTCGTCAATTTGCTTTTCTTTTTAATGGTATGAACTATGAATGCTTGATTCATAAGTTTGGCTCTGTTCGTTTGATTTGCTGTAAGATATCGGTCACCTTTTGTAGTAGTGTTGGGGATCAAGGTTGTCAAACCGGGTTATACCTTTGCGCCGCTTTGGTAAGTGGAATGGTTCGACTGCTGGTACAATCGGGTTGTATCAGTTCATGTCAGTTTAACAAAATATATAAAAATTTGAAAATCTTTAACATCCAATGAATTTAATCATATATTAAATATATTTAGGATAATTAGTACTTACAATCCAACAAATATTATCAAATTTAGCTTTTAAATTCATAAAATAAATAATAAAGAATTTTTATTAATTAAATTCACTAAAACGATGTCATTTTGTTTAGAATTCATAAATCGATCATATGTCGCGATCATACCAGTAGTGTTCATGCCGGTTTCATGACCAACACCGATTGAACTAGGTTCAACCGGTCGGCATGACAACCATTTCAGGATCACCAAATTTGATAAAAATTAATTTGATAACTAGGTTCAACCGACCGGCATAACAACTATTTCAGGAGCACCAAATTTGATAAAAATTAATTTGATAACTAGGCTCTAGCGTATCTCCCAACGCTAGCTAGCTAACTCCAATTTGCATTATACTCTTTAAAGTGATTGAATTGAGAGGATTATTGATAAGGTAAAGATGGTAAAATCTAGTTATATCTTTTATTTTCATCATTTATATTACTACATAATTTTTTATGAACATGGTTCTCTATTTTTTCATATATATTTTTCCGTAAGAAATTATTTTTGATTTTAAAGTTCCAACCAATGATATGCTAGATGTTTGATAAAAAAAAATGATACGCTAGATATTGTCCTGCTTGATCGAGTCCAAAAAGTGTGCAAAGATACTGTTTTCAGGTTGTCAGAGTCCATAACCAGACCTGCCAGACTTCTTGCAGGCTGCAGCTTATGAAGATGAAGTAGAAGTGTAAAGTCGGCATGTTGCTGCAAGTGAAGGCTGCACAAGATGAAATGCGTATCGGATTCGAATACGATTCGCCATATGGGAAGTATTTCGAGCATTCGTCCAAAATGCACATTCAGCATAATGAACGAGTAAAAATCAGACTCCGGTCATACTAAATAACCAATGTGAAAGAGGCACAAAATGTCAACCATTGTAAAAGAGTTGGACTGGAAGCATCTGAGTTCTTTGGGATGCTAACCCTATGGCTTTCTTTTGATACCATCACACTTCACATATGTAGCTACGATTAGGTCGATTTTTAGCCAAATCCGGTGCCAAATAACAATGCTGTCATAGTTCTTTTAGAATATTTCATACCAGAGAAGGTTTTTGAACAACATAAAAGGAATATGTGACCTGCAAACCTCTGCCAAACCATATCTCTTGGATTAGAGCCAACAGGTAAAGTAGCCGCAACAACAGGTCATCAATAATCGTATTGCCATCTTCATCTCCCTCAGTCATGGTCTCCGCTTAACCATCGCCCATTTCAGTGTCCTCGACCATCATAATTTCGATGTCTCTGATGTCTCGCTTCAGCACATTCCCAAGCCTTCCGATAGCCTCTGTCTGCTGTTGTAAGACCTGTGCAAATTTCGAAGCAATTGGGCCCGAAAAGGGACTGGATTAAATGTGTGTTTACAGCGACGTGATGAGATCACAACCTTAATTGCATCACTTACTTCTTGCATATCGGCTAGACTTTGCTCGTCAATCTTCGTTGAGCCAGGGAGATAAGCAGAAGCTCCTGGACCAATTCCATTTGCTTGCGCACGAGAGAAAGTGAGTAAGCTTTGGATACTCCTGCCGAGTTCTGCTCCAGGACCTTTCAGCTGAGATTCCAAGTTCTTAATGGCAATTCTCATATGTGGTGAAATAATACAACGAGAACGTGATGCGGTCAGTAAATATACCTGTCTAATTGTAGAAGCTAGCTTCTCTGCCAACTCTGCTTCCCCTTTCGTTAGGGGCAATCGGCAACCCTTGCTCTCCAAAGCTTCAAGTATCCGCATTGTCTGGCAAATGCAAGTGAAGAAGCTACTGTGAGAATGGAGTTAACTATAATACAATGCAATGACAAAAGTGCAAACTTGAAAGTGATCCTAATTCCTAAACAGGAATAGGTGCGTAGAGTGGTTGGCAAAGATTCGGTCCCACTGGACCAAATCCACATTTCGATCAGATCAAACTGGATGAAAGTAGCTTCAATTGGGTTTCGATTCTCGAATTGAAAGCCATTTTGGTCTTGATCCCATTACATCTCCTTAAATACAGCGGAAAGATGGACCGAATTGGGACGGGACCTAACTGAATTGAACTGAAATCAAGATGGGACTGAACCGAATTGGATCTATTGCATGTTGATACAGCTCTGGTGATCCGAATCTTTCCTGCACTCCTAAAATCGATTCAGTCTGACCCTGGACCAAACTGGATCATGCCCACAAACATCAAGCCTATCTCGAAAAGCAATATGAACAAAAGTGGTATTAACACCGAGCTTTAACCAACAGATGATGATTTTCCACACGGAAAATTAAAGAGTAATTCCTACCATGCTCAGCAGCTATTTACAAAGAGACACATCAAGAAAAATATACCCTTAGAAGGCGCCTATGAAGGCTTTGCTCTTTTTGTCTCAGCCTATCAATCCACGGAAGAGTCTCTGCTTGAATATGCCGTTGAAGCTGCAAGCAACAATTTTTGGGTTAAGTGAAATTCATCTTAGAGGTTAAAAGTGATATCAGAGGAACACAAGGATGTTCAAGCAAATACAGAAAAGGAATCAGCAGTAAGTCCTAGCCTATCTAGCAAGAAAGTTTTCGAAACTGCATGCAACAATTATACACTACAGTGGTTTCTAACCAGAAGAAGATGAGAATACAGATGAGTAGTACCGTTTTCACATTGCTTTGGGTCGTTCGCAATCTCTCAGAATCTGAAACAATGACTTCATCTTGAAGCTGCATAAACAGCATATCCGAGTCAACGTAAATACTAAAGAATTTATACTATCTTTCAGCTTCAAGGAAAACATACATTTTTTCCTTTTGAAAAACAGCACGAAAAGGAAACTCAACGTGTTCGAATCTCAAGTATGATCAACATGATCATCGATCACTGCACATGGCAACGTCCCAGAAGCAACTTAGAATTTGGAAAACACTTGCATACAACACCATAATGCATCCATCGAACCCGTATAACTGACCTTGAGGCGGTTTGACAGATCTTTGAAACCTTGAGCAAGTTGAGGCCATAGACGCTCCCGGTCTCTACTTTCCATCCCTTCTAACTTCCCCATAGCCTCCGCCCACATAATCTAAAGAAAGCAAACTATTTCCCCACTCAGCAAATACACACAGAAGAACCAACTCTACAACAAATACGTAATGCAAGAACCAAGAGGCATAGAATCAAATGAACCCTCAAGTTAAACTCACATCTGATACTGTGGCAGGCTTGACTCTGAGCTGTGGATCCGTAACACTGAACAACAAATACTGAAAAGAGCAGAGAACAACGACAATAGCTCAGATTGCAGTCATTTCCATTTAAAAAAGATCCGGAAACGGACCAATCATTCACTAGAGCAAGTTAATGAACCTTGAAACCATATTTAGGGTTCCCAGCCTCCTCCTTATAAGCATCCACGATTGCCTACCACCGATTCCGAAGAATTAACACAGATGTCAGCCACGAAACGAAGTGAAGTAAAAATATGTACGACTAACGAGAAGACGAAGGTGTAGGGAGGAAAGAAGCCATACCTGAATATCACGATCAGCAAGGGAGAAAGGGAGCGGGGCCACGGGGGCCATCTGAGTCGTCAATTGAGCATTGGGGAATGGCGTAGGCTGCTGAGCGGGGAACTGAGTCTGGAATCCGAAACCAGAACTCGGCTGCTGGAAGAGGGACGCCTGCTGCTGTTGTTGTTGTTGTTGTTGCTGCTGCTGTTGCTGTTGAGGCTGCGCAGAAAATGGCGTGGAGAAGAGAGAAGACTCGAATCCAGTAGCGAACGAGGAGGTGGACGGAGTGGCGAACGCCTGAGTCGAAGATGATGGAGCACCGAACAACGGAGTGGAGGAGGGAGTTCCGAACGCTGAGGAGGGAGTTCCGAACGCTGGGGTGGACGGAGTGCCGAACGCCGGAGTTGAGGACGGGGTGCCGAACGCCGGAGTAGAGGATGGAGTGCCGAACATGGTGATAATTGGAACTCCAGAAATCGGCGGCGGTGACTTGGTTCCTTACAGTGATGATGGCGCCATGAGCTTTTGAGATTTCAATTTCATTTTTTGCAGCTCAGGTGTTTGACGATTTGCCGCTCTATTGCCTGGCACTGCAGTGGTTCTGCGTATTAGCCGGTGAACAAACGACCCACCCGTCCAATCCGATCCAACCCACCCGTATTTATCGCTATAAGGAAGGTTTTGAGTTGGGTGAAGATTTTGTTTTATACAACCCGCCTCTTTTGGATTGAGTTTGGATTTTGGATTACACAACCCGTAGAACCTGACCCAACTCGTATTCCAACTATTGGTAGAAGTTTGTATCAAAAAATATTTATGTCGTATATAATCATACTTATGAGAAAATTAAAATACTTCGCCATGTTTTCTCTCATGATCTCCTTAATCTAATGCATTATTTGGCTTAAAATTTAGACATAAATTTAATATAGTTATGATTCACTTAATCCTTTTTCTTGTGTACAATATTAATAGAATAATATATTATGGGCGCATTCGTTTATAACTTTTTTAGCATATTTCAACAAATATCATAAAAAAAACCAGACATATGTTGTAGTAAATCACATTTTATTAAAATCTAAACAACATTTGTGAATTTTGATACCTTTCACCTCAGTTTATTCGTTTGTAATTTTAATTAGTTATAAAATATCATTTTTATGGTGTAGAATAATTACATATTTTGTGTTGGGTAAGGTTTTAACTTAAAAATATCGCCAAGCCGACCCAACCCAATTAGAAACAAATCGTAGGGTTTAAATTCTTTTGCATGGGTTTGAGTTTAATATTTCCCAAACCGTAGTGCATGGGTCGGGTGATTAAAATGGCTAAACCCGGACCACCCGACCAATGTACACCGCTAATTACTATCTTCATTTAGGACAAATATCACTAAAAAAATTATTTATATTATATAGGATAAATGACATGATTGGTCACTGAGATTATTAAAACATGTCAATTTTTTCACTAAAAATATTTTATTCCATTTGTGATTACTGAAATTACTAAAAACTGTCAAGTTTGGTTACTCTCCATCAAACTCAATTAATTTTTGATTATGTAACAATAAACTCTTTGAGTTAACCAGACCATCCTCTAGCCAATACTACACAGCCTCCTACTACTCAACCAGACTCGCCTTAGGAAGAATGAAGCTATGTAGATAGGACTCCACTTTTGTACATGTCGTGGACATGTTTCGGATCTTAGGGGTTGTTTGGAAGTTGTGATTGTTAGAGTTGTGTTTGTTGAATACATGTATTGATTGTGCACAATACAATGTTTGGAAGTTTCAAAATGTAAAACAATGCATGCATTGTTTTAGGTAGGTCCCACCAACAATCACAAAAAATGATGCATTATACAATCTCAACTAAAAGTTGAGATTGTTGGTTTTAGATTTGTGTCAACTTTTTCTTTCCATTTATATCCCTAATAGTTTTTGTCTTATTCTAAAAGTTGAGGGTAAATGTGACATTTCCCCATAAAATAACTTTATGTAAATCAATGCATAAAGTAGAATCTCAACAACCAAACAATGTATTGTTAAAATGCATACATTGTATCAATACATGTATTTATATTATGGCGATTCATTACAATGCAACGATTTAACATTCACAACTTCCAAACGACCCCTTAGTATTGTGGTCTGAGTTGTAGTCGAATGTAGAAGTTTGTAATTGTATTTTTGGGAGTCTTCGTACTTGTGTAGGACATGGGTCGGGTTGGGTCGGGTTTTGCCAAACCCAAACCCATGGGTTTATCTTTGAAAAAAATCCGGGGTAAAACCCACTGGGTTTGAAAAACTCAAACCCAACCCAACCCGTTGGGTATCCGCGGGTTCATGGGTACCCACGGGTTTTGTCGTAAAAAATTTACAATTACAAGTTCTTATCAAAATTAAAGTCAAATATCAATCTCTCAATACAAATTATCCATATATAAAACACCATTCTAGAAAATTCAAACAAATCACAAATTAACTATACAAAGTGTTCAACACCAATCTAGAAAACTCAAGAAAATTAAAGCAAATCACAAATTATCCATAAATAACATGTTTAATTGAAAGCTTCTTCCTTTCAATTAAGTTTCTTTACTCTCCACTCCATAACATCAACTTCATTCTACACAATTAAAAAGAAAAAATTAGACATGTCTCCATAAACATAAATAAGATTAGTTGTTTAGAATATTAAATATATCAAAAAAATTAATTATATGGGTGGGCGGGTACCCACGGGCCGGGTTTACCTAAACCCAAACCCAACCCAACCCGGTGAATAGTGAACGGGTTTAAACCCAAACCCGGCCCAAAACCCATCAACACGGATTTTACCCGCGTTGACCGGGTTGGGTCGGGTGGGTACCCGTGGGTTCGGGTTTTGTTGCCATCCCTAGCCTCGACATTGTTTCAGAAGGGGGTTTGTTGGAGATGAAGAGAGAACGCGAGAGAGGAAAAGAAAGGTAAGAGAATTGGGTTCGGAGTAGGGAGAGGGGAAGACGGCGAGGCGACGACGACAGATGGTGGCGGCGGTGTAACAGCCTGGGTCCAGCTGGCAAGAGGCGTGCTATATTGGCAAATGTATAAATAGGGAGAGTTCACGTGTATTGCTCATCTTTTTGCCCAACTGTCAAACTATAGCTACTTTACCAAATTTCAGTTAGATAGATATCAATAAACAGCTCTTCTTCGTCTCCATTCCTTCCCAAATTTCCCTTCTTCTCTTCTTCTCGCCAGATTCCCACCTTCGATCCTTGCAAAGTGGTATCAGAGCTTCAATCTGGCAATGGCTTCTCACACCTCTCGCATTGTTGATTTGGAGACACAGATGGCGTCTGTTCAGCTTCAATTGGAGTCCCAACACCAGGACTTGAAGACCGCCATTGCGGAGCTTGCTGCGTCCACCAAGGATAATCTCGATGCGTTGGCGGCGTCCTTCGCTCGCAGTCATGAGAAATCTCCAGTTCGTTCGCCGCCGCAGTCGCAAGCTCCCTTCGCCGAGGCACAGCATTTTCGTTCTCCACAGCGGCGACCGTCGTTGTTGGATCACTATCCTCGCTTGGAGTTCTCCTACTTCTCCGGTTCTGATCCTCACGTTTGGGTGAGCAAGTGTCATAAGCTCTTTCTCCTCTACTCGATTCCTGAAGAGCAGAAAGTGGATTTGGTCTCGTACTATTTGGAAGGGCGGGCTTATACGTGGTTTGAGGGCTGGTCCTTCCGTCGCTTTCCGTTGATTTGGGGCCATTTCGTTGAGGAGCTCCTTCACCGGTTTGGGAATCGTGATCAGTTGAATGTGGTGGCGGCATTCAACAAGCTCAGGCAGACGTCCACGGTTGCTCGTTATCAGGAGGAGTTTGAAGATCTTCGTTCTCGTCTTCTCCGGTTGAATCCTGAACTCAATGAGCATTATTTCATCTTGAGCTTTCTGGGAGGGCTCGACGAAGAAATTCAACCTCGTGTTCAGCTACTTAATCCGCCGACTTTGGCGTGTGCGTTTTATCAAGCGCGCCTGGAGGAGTCCGCCATTGACGCTCGCCGGAAGAAAACGCGTTCTGCTCCTCCCAGTCGGTGGTCTACTTCTTCCCCTTCGGCAGCGACTTCTTCTTCTCAGCGTGAACAGCCTCTTCCTTCCCCGTCCACTGGTGACCGAAATTCTATTCCTCGGGGGCAGGGCCTCTGCTATAAGTGCGGTGATAAGTACTTCCATGGCCACGTTTGCGCCAGGAAGAAACAGCTCCAAGTGATGCAAGCTGAGGAGCAATGTCAGGAGGTGGACGATGGTGACGACGAGTTTCAAGATGCTGAATTGGAAGTTACTTTACAGTCTATGGGGTCGGGCTTTGCTGGGAATTCTCTGCTTATCCCTGCTACTTCGGGTCGTCGTGAGGTAACAGTTCTTATCGATACAGGAAGCTCCCACACTTTTCTCAATTCTCTTAGAGCTCAGGAGTTGAACTGTAAATCAGATAGTATAGCACCAATGAGGGTGAAGGTTGCAAGTGGCCATACGTTGTTGAGTGATTCGGTGTGCAGGGGATTCAGTTGGAAGATGCAAGGGGAGGAGTTTGCTTTTGATGTTAGAACGCTTGATCTCCCTGCTCATGATTTGGTTTTAGGGTGGGACTGGCTTGAAACCATTAGTCCATTTCAAGTTGATTTGAAGAAGAGGCAATTGGCTTTTGAATGGAAGGGCAGGACTCTTACATTGTAGGGTCTCACAAAGGAAGGCCAGTGTAAGATGATTTCAGGGCGCAATTTGCAGCAGCTTCTAAAAAGCCCCATGACTCAGCTGACAGGAGCTGTGTTCTCCCTGGAGACAGTTTCTTCTACCACCATTACACCTCCTTTCCTGGAACCTGTTTTAGCCAAATTTCCAGATGTTTTTGCCACTCCCACATCCCTACCTCCTGCTCGTTCTTTTGACCACACAATACCTTTACTTCCCAACACCAAACCCATCAATATAAGACCCTACAGATTCCCTCACCATCACAAAGCTGTTGCTGAAAGGTTGGTTGAGGAAATGCTCCAATCTGAATTCATTCAAGAGAGCCACAGTCCTTATGCTTCACCCGTTTTGTTGATTGGTAAAAAAGATGGTACTTGGCGGTTTTGTGTGGATTACAGGGAGCTTAATGCCAGTACAATCAAGGATAAGTTTCCCATCCCTCACATTGAGGACTTGTTGGATGAATTACACGGGGCAGTTTTGTTTTCGAAGCTGGATCTTCGGGCGGGCTACCATCAGATTCGCATGCACCCTGCAGATCAGTTTAAGACAGCTTTCCGTACTCACCAAGGGCATTACGAGTTCAGGGTCATGCCCTTTGGGTTGACAAATGCCCCGGCAACATTTCAGGCTTTAATGAACCATGTCTTTGGTAAGTACTTGAGGAAGTTTATCCTTGTGTTCTTTGATGACATACTGGTGTACAGCAAGTCAGAGGCAGACCATGTGCAGCACCTTACTATTGCTCTACAACTCCTTCGGGATCATCAGCTGTTCGCCAAAGCTTCAAAGTGCTCTTTTGGGCAGCAGTCTGTGGAATATCTCGGCTATATTATTAGCAGGGATGGCGTCTCTACTGATCAAGGGAAGGTGGCTGCTATGACTTCTTGGCCTCGGCCTACCACAGTTAAAGGGTTGCGTGGTTTCTTGGGTTTGACAGGGTATTACCGGAAATTCATTAAGAATTATGGTATCATAAGTCGGCCTCTTACTGATCTCCTTAAGAAGAGCGGGTTCCATTGGTCTTCCGAGGCTGAGGAAGCCTTCCATTCTTTGAAATCATCCATGAGTCAGGCTCCAGTCTTGGGATTGCCTGATTTCACACAGCCCTTCATTTTGGAAACAGATGCTTGCGGTACGGGGGTGGGGGCAGTATTATCACAGCATGGCAGGCCTCTAGCTTTCTTTAGCAAGGCCCTCAGCCTACGCAACCAAGGGTTAAGCACATACGAGAAAGAGTATCTTGCTGTCTTACTTGCCGTCGATCATTGGAGGCATTATTTGGAGGGGCGTCAGTTCACAATTGTGACGGATCACGAAAGTTTGAAGTTCCTCTTGGGGCAGAAGGTACATACTGCAATTCAAAAGAAGGGTCTCGTAAAGCTTTTGGGTTTGGACTTCCAGATTAAATATAGGAAGGGGCGCTACAATGGGGCTGCTGATGCCCTATCCCGTGTTTTTGAAGATAATGTTGAAGGCAGTACTTGTAATGCCCTATCTTCAGTGCTTCCTGAATGGCTGGTGGAGATCGAGAAATCCTATGTTGGGGATGCTGAGGTGGCTGAGTGGATTACAGCAGCAGCAGTGAACGTTGCTGGCCCTTCCTTATGGTCTTTCTCATCTGGCATTCTTCGATATCGGGGTGCTATAGTGGTGGGTTCAACTGGTTTTTTGCGTTCCAAGCTACTCCATCTTTTTCATTCTTCACCTGTAGGAGGTCATTCAGGTGCTCAAGGCACTTACCAACGCCTTAAGAATTATTTCTACTGGCGGGGTATGAAGTCTGCAGTTGTTCAGTGGGTTGCTACTTGTGAAGTTTGTCAGCGTTGTAAGACCGAGACCCTAGCTTCTCCAGGCCTTCTCCAACCTCTCCCTATTCCCACCAGAGCTTGGCGCGATATCAGTATGGATTTTGTCGAAGGTTTGCCCAACTCGAAGGGGAAGCAGGTGCTGTTTGTGGTTGTTGACCGATTCACGAAGTCAGCACACTTCTTTGCCCTCTCGCACCCTTATTCAGCAGCTACTGTGGCTCAGATTTTCTTCGAGGGAGTTTTCAAATACCACGAAATGCCTTCCACAATAGTGTGTGACAGAGATGCCACTTTCACAAGTGTGTTTTGGACGGAATTCTTTCGATTACAGCGTACTGACATCCATTACTCCACTGCATATCATCCGCAAACAGATGGACAAACAGAACGGGTTAATCGTTGCCTCGAAGATTATCTCCGCTGTATGTCATTCCATCGACCTCAGGACTGGGTTGATTGGTTGGTTCTTGCTGAATGGTGCTATAATACACACTTCCACATCAGTCTACAGATGTCCCCGTTCGAAGCTCTTTATGGGTTTCCACCTTCCTTCTTTGGTTTGGGTTCTGTCTTGCCTACTCAGGTGGGTGCTGTGGAAGATCGAGTCACCAATTACCATCATTTGGTACAGCTTCTCACGCACAACATCACCACTGCTCAGAATCGTCAGAAACAGTACGCTGACAGAAGGAGATCGGAGAGAGTGTTGCAGGTCAATGACTGGGCATATCTTCGCCTGCAACCTTATCGGCAGGGTTCAGTGGTGGGTAGGCAGGGTAACAAGTTGGATGCTCGCTACTTTGGTCCGTACAAGGTGCTTGCGAGGGTGGGAGAGGTAGCGTATCGACTTGCTCTGCCTGCAGGATCGAAGGTGCATCCAGTCTTCCATGTGTCACAGCTCAAGCTCTGCCGCTCTGTTGTTCCACCTGCTACACTGCACCTCCCTGCTGTTGACTCTAATGGGGCATTGAAGTTAGCTCCAGGTCAGATTCTCGCTCGACGATTTGTGCAGCAGGACAATAGAGCTGTCACTCAGGTCCTCGTCCAGTGGTCTCATCAGTCTCCGGAGGAAGCTACGTGGGAAGACCTGCTCAGCTTCAAATCGCAGTTCCCTGCCTTCCCAGCTTGAGGACAAGCTGCTTTGAAGGGAGAGGGATTTGTAACAGCCTGGGTCCAGCTGGCAAGAGGCGTGCTATATTGGCAAATGTATAAATAGGGAGAGTTCACGTGTATTGCTCATCTTTTTGCCCAACTGTCAAACTATAGCTACTTTACCAAATTTCAGTTAGATAGATATCAATAAACAGCTCTTCTTCGTCTCCATTCCTTCCCAAATTTCCCTTCTTCTCTTCTTCTCGCCAGATTCCCACCTTCGATCCTTGCAGGCGGATCGGGGACGAAGGGATTGGGGAAGCGATAGAGTTATGTGTGGTGAGGGAGACTTTTTTGTTTTATAAGAGGGGGGTGAGTGTTTTTCCTTTTTTTTAATTAATTAATAAAGTTAAAGGAAATAAATTAACAAAATATTTATTTATTTGAATTTTGTTTTTTGCTGACATGGCACCGACCTGGCACGTTGGCCGTCCAAATTGACGGTCATCCAACGCATTAGCCCAAAATTGTATAGATGGTGTATACTCTGTGCTAGGATAGGAGTTTCAAATAGTTTGGGCCAAAATAGTAATTCTGTGGAAATTTCGTGCCAAAATAAGGTATTAACCCAAAACTTTCTATGTAAAACTCAAACAAGGCAGCATGACTAACTATATAAATCAAGTTCAAGAGAAACGACTACGTATAATGGTAGTTGTGTTTGAGTTCAATTATGATCAAAATAAATCAAAATAGAATAAATATCTTACTCGAAAAGTGGTTTGAGGATCATATGTACCTGAGTCTAATGGTTAGACTGAATGAGTTGAATCAAAATATAAACATACCAAACTAGACTAACTCAATGCTCAAGAACTAAATTCAAATGAATGACCTAATAGCAAGGTTCAAGAAAGCGCTAGGCGTAAGGTGAGCGTTGAGGCTCTGCCTTGCGCCTAGCATGCCTAGGCGTCGCCTATACATGCCTAAACGTTAAAGGTAAACATAGCAAAGTATCTCACACTTGTCTAGAATCACAAGTTTATGAACCATTATTATCGCATCTATCTCTCATTTCTAAACTTTCATCAATAGCACATAGTAAAACATAAAACATAGCGTGGAGAAATGAGTAAGAAAGAAAAAGTTCGAAAATAGCAAAGCACATTGAGAGCGAAGAAGCGCAAAAATGAAAGAAGAAACTACTTTTAAGATGTCGTCTCTAACTATATCTCAGCCTAACTATAGAGAAATCAAGAATGTCCTCCCTAGTAGCATATCAAAAGGTAGAAAGAAAACATTATGACATCATTTTGAGACCCAACTCAATGCTGACTAGGCACCAACGAGACTACAACGTGATTGTGACGCCTTCACAGCTACTTTTTACCAAAGTGACACATTTTTCTTCTGGATTGCACCTAGGCGAGCTTAAGCGAGTGCCTAGGCGGGCCTTTAAGAACCATGTCGTTCTGAAATCATCCACACTGTCACACCCTAAACTCGAATCTTGGAGACTTGGACCAACAAAAAAAATCTCAACAAGTTAAGGCAAACCCAATCGACTTGACTGCCAATGAGAAACTAGAGAGGAAGGAAGATAAGCTGTTTCAATCAAGTTCAATCATTTTCTTTCGCAATGTGGCAAGAAGGAACTGGAACACTTAGCATTGGCTTGGAAAAAACCTTAAATCTGATACAAGATTTGTCCCAGCTGGCACAGTTTACAATATCTCAGCTAGATGGATGCATGCAAAAACAAACCCAGTTCAGCTGCTCTACATAATATAACCCAGGACCTCATGCTCCAGATACTTCAACCATTTCCTGCTCCACTGTGCTGGGCGTAACTGGGTAGTACTTGTAGTGCAACTCACCGACATCGTCGCCAGATAGCTTCTTCCATCCATTCGGCCCAACATGATAAACTGTAAAGTGAAAGCCAAACGAATCAGGATCACGCTGAGAGCGATGAACAATCTATATACCGATATTATAGCTAGTAGGAGGGAGAAGGAAAGGTTACCGCTGGCAACTCCACCACTGGCTCCATCACGGAATGTTGCATGGTATATAGCTCTTCTAGCTAGCTCCGCAGCCTCCTCGATTGACATATCATACCGATACCTATAAGAGTTCAAATTCGTTGAAATACAATTGTTAAACAACATCCATTCTAAGACTCAAATATGTTATGTCCCTAATCTATTTCTAAGGCTAGGCTCTTATCACTGTGATTGCCCACATTATGGGATGGCAAAATGGTTTTCTGATTTCCGGTTTATTCGAAAACAAACCAACTTACCCAAAATTAATTGAAGCCAAAGGCCATGTCTTCATGAAATTTACTTGACCCATTACTGAAGTTTGATAAAATTAAATCACATGTTTAAAATTCTACCATTTTTACAAACTTTCATATCATTTTTGGCTTAGTTTTTCACTTCCACAAGTATAATGTTAAAAGTTTGGTTATCCAAAACCAAAATATTGCTTGCAGTAACCAAAATAATGTTTTTTGCTTTGGTTTCACGAACACTTGTTTTTTGGTTTTCAGTTAACCAAAACCAAACCATTCTCACCCCTCCTAGACAAATAAAAGAAGGAAAGAAACAAATGAGTACATTGCAAAGGAGCAACACTCACCCACTGTCCAACACACCATAAGCATACGGGGAGCCAGATCCAACAGAGAATCTTGGTCCTTTCAGCCTTCCTCCTTCGCTATCTACGTAATATAGACCAGGACCCTGCATTTTAAAAGATCCACAGCTTAAATAATTCCGCAAAGACATTACACAAGATCAGCAGAGTATTTGGGTGGATCATTACCGTTTCATCCCATCCAGCAATCATGGTCCCAACAGAGAGACCCATTCCACGGTAAGAGTAGAGTATGTTGGCGAGGAGCTTCGATGCCCCAGTAACCGAAATCCTCCTCTTATTTGCCAACTCATGCAGACGGCACTAAGTTACGCCAAAAACATTAGAATTAGCTTTTACATACAAAGACTACGGAATCTGAATAGAAATATCAACCATAAGAACTACACAGAACAATATAACACTGATAATAAGAGGAATCCTACATAAAACCATTGCAAGGGATGGTTACACTCTGAAAGAAGCCTATCTGTACAATGCGGATCCCTATACCTGAACTTTGATCGTTTCAACAGACACAGAACCTACACAAATGTATTTCATAACCAGCTTATAGCATTTGGCAATAAATTGATTAAGCTCCACAGTTTCATGCTTGAATGGGAATTCTAGACAATCTAATAGCCTCATTCACGTCAATAGCCAGTTAATAATTCAACTATGACCAGGTCTAAGCATAGAATCTGTGAGCATGTGATACCTTAATGCCAAGATTTCTGTGCCAGAACTGGCAGTCGGCAGCTCCACCAGCCATCGTACCAAGCATGTAAGGATTGATTTCAATGATCTTCTTCACAGATTGGGAAGCTGGAAAGACCAATATAAGAGGGTACTCAGCCAAGTGAAGAGAGAACCGCACTACATACATCATAACAGAATTAATTATACAACAGCTTGAAATAACATCAGATAGCAAAACTTACAGATATAGCCTCCCATGCTGGCTCGAGAATCCGCAGCCACCATGACACCTTCCTTGAAGATAAAAGCCAGCGTGGTCGTGCCCTTTGCTGGCTTCACCATCTGTATAGCCTCCTTCTGGAAACCATCGAACTGAAAACCCAAAAAAAAAAAAAACACACATACACACACAATTCAGAACCAAATTCTTTGCAGCAAGCAAAGCACATGAGATAGAACAGATTGAGAGCTCACGTCAAGAGTTGTGGGAAGGTCAAAAGCTGGAGCAGCGGTGAATCCATCGACCATCTGGCAGTTCGCGCCGAAGAGCGGCAGAGCCGACTCGAGACCAGTCGTGTCAAGCTTCATGATCTAAAAATTCAAACGAGCGAACAACAGTTCATATGATTCAGTACCTCTAAAAAGCGAGATTTCGGCTATTTAGGAGGACGAATCTAATTAGGGGGCAGAGAGACTAAAATTTGCAGATGAGAAACCCTAGAAAAGCTAATGCGAGGCGGTTTAGAAGGAGAAAGAAGGATCGAGTAATCCGAACGCACCTTCGGTTAGACTGAGAGCAGCTGGAGTGGGTAGAGTGACTTTTGCTCGATGATATCTCGGTGCCGGAGAAGAAAAACGGAGATATGATGCAGAGAATGGAATGTGGTCGGAGAAAGGGAACTGGGAAAGTGAGGAAAATATGCAGATCGATTTCTTGTCCCGCGGGCAAGAAGGAAGGAGTATTGGGCCTGGACTTTTTTCTAGGATAGCAAAATAGCGCATGGATCTGACCCATGACATAAATAATACAAGTTATGGCCCGTCACTTCGTTTCTCTATAATTGCTAGGGATGGCAATGGGCGGGTTTGGGGCGGGTTTTCCTAAACCATCCCCATCCCCGCTTCCAAATATCCAAACCCATACCCGCCCCATACCCATACGGGGAAGATTTTGCAAACCCATCCCCATACCCGTGGGTTTCGGGTACCCATGGGTAATACCCGCCCCGTACATCCAACATTATAATACATAAAATTTTACATTTAAATTTTCAATTATAACATTAAAGGCACCTATTATACCATGAAGTCGAGAAAGTGACAATAATTCTTAATATGGTTCAAAGCATTTTATCCTAAAATTTCCCTTAATCCATAAAATAGAGTATTACAATGTAATCCAAATCATTATTTATCTGACTCTAATACATATACTAAGCAATAATGAACTAATATAATCTTGCTAACACGAGGGAAAAGTGAAAGAGTGAAGAGAGAATTGAGGAAAATGAATTAGTTTTTGATTTGGGTGACCACTCAATTGCATTTCTACTAATTATTTTTTTTATTTACCCTCACTATCATCGATAGATTACTATTTCATCCATGTATTTTTTATATGTGAACAAAATTCTTGGTGGGGTGGGTATGGGTATGGGTATGGGGCGGGGGAGGCTAAAACCATACCCGCCCAATACCCATCAAACATTTTGCGGGTTTTACCCATACCCGCCCCATACCCAGTCAAAGCGGGGATTCCCCGCGTTGACTGGGTCGGGGGCGGTCGGATACCCATGGGCATGGGTTTGATTGCCATCCCTAATAATTTCCCAACGAAAAACAAATTAAAGTCAAAACGGAGTTGTCGTTCTTTCATAAACAAAACCTGAAGAAAGAATGCTTAGTGAGAATTTTGATAGCTCTTAAATTTAATTCTGAAAATGAAAACCTATTTAGTTACTTCATATTATTTTTTGGTCCTTGATTACTGCAATTTTTCATTAAGTATCATACAATTCTAATCATGACTATTTATATATATTCTGATACAAATCACAATATTTTTAATTTACTAATAAAAAAATACAAAATACAAGTATAAACATTTTATATTCCATTAGAAAGAATTAATAATGTGTGTACACTTGTTAGGGGTGTGCATCGGTTCGGTTCGGACCGGACCAAATTCATGAGAACCGCGATCCATTAGTGAAAAACATCTTAGGACCAAGGACCAGAACATCATTGCGTTTGGTCCATTTGGTTCAGTTCGATCTTGTCCAAATATCAGTTCAGTCCATTATTCCTTCAGTAATTGTCAAATTCATGTGAACCAAGGACCGTACTGCATTATACTCAGTCTGATACAGTCCGATCCAAACTCTTGTGCGGTCCAATCCAGGACCGAACCATTGCACACCCTAAATTGCCAGCCATGCAACAACATTATATAATAATGCTCAACATGATCACATGCTCTAAAACAACACTGACGACATTGCACAAAAGAGAACAATAAGAAATTAACAATAATGGATTTGAAAGTGGGATTTGGGACCAAGGAGAGAGTTGGATCGGGTTTTGTTATGATGTATGTGTTGAACCTTGGTTGAAGGATGTTGGAGAAGGCGGCGAAAGATGACGTCGGAGCAGGGTTTTTGGAAGATTCAATAAAAAAACTCTCTTCAATTTCCTTTCCCTTTCCCAAACCTTGGAGAAGAAGAACACGATTTGGTAATCGGTTTGGAAAAGTAGAACTCGATCAGATGGCCAGGTTTTAGCCTACAACGGACTGCTTTTTTGATTGTCGAGTTCTTCGTCGTCGTTGTTCCCTCTGGTTATTTCTTCTTCCTCTTTTTCGAACCAGAATGTCAATCCCCATTTCCTTTCTCCCTCCCGTGGCAATGACGAACACTGATGGCAGAACCCTTTTAGGCTAACAACGAGAACTTTATTATCCATATATTCTTCTTCCCATTATTGTATCTGCATTCTCATCAAATCGAAGTCACAGCCTCCTTTTCCTATTTGGTTGTCTATGAATTCCAGTTTTCGATGGGTTATTCGAGTTCATTTGTACCCCTGTGTATTTATCTTCTGCTTGGGCTTAGGGTTCCCCATTCTCATTAAAAGGTAGGATTTGGGATTGGAATTGCCCTGGTTCTTTGCGATTAGGGTTTGTACGGGCTACTTCCCTTTCAATCCGAGGAGGATTGTCGCCCAGACCATCTGCTTGGATTGTCAATCGGCAGCTGGAAGTCCCTCCTTAGCCATTAATTTTGTCTCAACATTGCAATGTCTCCCAAATCTAACTTTTGCCAGAGTCCTTACATGATAGTTGTCCTTTCTCCTTCTTGCAACACAGGCAAAGCCGATCTGAAGAACAGTTTCGTGTGGCAAAGACGACGGCTTTCTTATCCAGGTAATATTCTTCCTGATAATTTATATGCTTTCTCCAGTGAAAAAAATCAAGCCCCTCTTCCCCTTCTCCTTCCTACAACACTGGTGAAGTCAATTTAAAGAACTGTTTCGTGCGGCAAAGACGGCAACTTTCATGTCCATGTAATCTTCAATTTTTGTTGTTGAGTCCAGATTCCTTATGTTGTATTTGTTTTTGCCTCTCACTATAAAGCTCCACTCCCTCTCCTTGGTGAAATGAATATGGGAGTGGTAACATGTACCTTTACATATACTGTTACTGGTTTTTGGTCATTGTGAAGCTACTTTCTATTGTAATGCAACTGTAATCCACTGGCAATATAGGGTTTGGATTAGGTTCTAAGTGGTATGTTAAGTAAGCAGATCAGTAGTTGTTTCCACACACTTTATATCACTGTCGTTAAGAAAAGTTCCAACCCACTTAGGATGACAAAGGTGGCGCTATTTGGAACTTCAACATGCAATGTGCCACTATTTTACTTATTTCACAAAGAGCAAACCATAACTGCATTGCATATCATGTTTATGCCATGTACTGAAATGTTTCACATATACCTAGCACGACTTTTCCCTTTTTCAGTTCGAAAGTCTGATTTGCCTTATTGGATGTGCTTCCTCGGATTGTTAGCACTCTGCACTATATGTCATTATCTTACAATTGTTTTTGTATTTCAACATCACTTCAAGCAAGATTTGGTGCTACTAATTGTCGTCTACAAGATATTAAACTCCGCACGTTGTCTATAATTATCACAACAGACACTGAACATGAATACTCCTGCTTCCAAAGCCTTTTGTGTCTGGGGGGGTTCCTACAAAGTACAACAACATTATGTGGATTAGTTTATTAAATGTGTATTCAAGCATGTTTTAGTGGTATTACATTTTCCTCGATTCTATATGGCGAGTAATTAATTCCCAGGATTTGATCACAAACCTAAAAAAGTTTAGGTTCCATGTCAGGACCATTTTTCCATATAGGCTGTTTTTATCACAAAATTTGGACATATCAGGTGCCATAATTTTTTTTAGTTCTGAAATCGGTACGTTATGATGATTTGAATTTCTTTGTATCAACTTCCAGTCATCACTTCCTATATGGAATTTGTCAATGTTTATCTTTCATTTTCCATTAGTGTGCTAATGATATTACCAAGCTATGTTGTTTCCACTTACCAGCATCCCCAACTTTGTGTCTAATTTCTCCCCATAATAATGTTTTATAGGATTTGGTATAGTGTCATACTTCTTAAACCATCACTAGTGACTGAACACTTTATTTCCATCGTTTGGGTTTCGTGGTCGATAGTATCGATGAATACCCATGAAATTGAAGCTGGGGAGTCATCAATTGTCCGACACATTGTGTCGTGTGAGTTTCAATACCAAACTTTGGCATTTTATTCAAACCACGGTTTCTTATAAACGGGGATTCACTGACGGTTGGGTCATTAAATTGTTTGTTGTCATGAGCATAGAAACGTCGTGCTATTTTCTTCCAACCTAATGCCGTAACTAATGGTCCCACGTCGGTTGCAAAAGATGATGATGTATTAGCCAGAGGTAATGGGGGTACGTATCATAACGTGCAATTGTTTTTGGAGGATTCACATTCAAATATAGTTTTTTGTACAAGCATAAGCATTATGTCCAGATTGATAGTTTTTGGAAGGGATTAATTTATTTGGCTTAATCACTCAATCTAACCACAATTTATATTCATTGAATTTTGTCTGAACTTTAGAGTGACCTATCAAGAATTACTACTCGATTGCCTAAACTTGCAAGGACAAGACGACATGCTCTCATTGTCAATAGGCGACACCATTGTAGAATATAGAATGGTATATGTTATACTCGTTTTCTCATTATTTAACTGAATTTATTATTATGTCTTCCCAATATTCTTAAAACGGGAGTCATTTGTGTAACATTAAGTTGAAATTGTTTGGAGCTTATTTTAGTTGAAGTATTGGAGACCAAATTTACAGCGCTTAGTGCTGCCCGTAATAGATTATCACGTTGGATATACTTACATTGAAAAGGAAAAGGAGACTTTTTTTTTGAAACCAAAGGCCTATGAGTAAGTATTATAGTTTCTCATCTACATTACTTTTATGAGATCCCAGTACCATTAAGATTTAATTTCAGCTAGGCAACCCATTTAATTTACCTAATGTGATCCATGTTTTACTGATTGAAGCTAATGTTTTGTAAATATATTTAGGTTGTCCCGCTGTTGAATTTTTCTACGTAGGAGAGCCATATTACGCCTGTTCATTCTGTCGTGCTAAGATCTGGTGGTTAGAAAGCGTTACGAAGTCGCGAAATATTGAAACTCCACCCACCTCGACGAGATCCACCAGAATTCCTCAAAGAGCTTCTTGAAGGACAATTGATGATTCGTCACTTTCGTGAGTCCATCTGTGGGTACAATGGTGTCTTTACTTTTTTTTATCTCTTAGCGGTAAGGTTGATAAATCTATAAATGTTGGTCCTGGTGTGTATGTGTACTCAATTGGTGGT